TCCATGGAAAGTGACTTGGAAGGGGTTCTAAACCCCGAAATAAAGTTGCCCCAACCCTCAGCAGTGAGTCATGGATTCTTTCAGTGAAGTTGCTCATACCCAGGAATGCCCCAGTTTCTGCATTTGTCACATTGCACTGGTGTCGTCAGTAAAGGTCACTCTCCCTGTTAGATGGTGAAATGTTCAGAGCAGAGACCGTGTCTTATTCGTGTTTATGCCCCAATACTCAGGCCAGTGTCTGAAGCATAGAAGTTGCTCTATCATTGTTTGTTGAATGAGCATGTCTCCAAGAAAGAAATTTATCTAAATCATAGAAACCAAGGGATCAGGAGTCCATATTATTAGTAGCTTTTAATGGATTAAAACATTTCCGACGGAGTATTCATTTTTAGATGATCATGTTAACTATGTCTTTAAAACTTATCTCTGGCTTGTGGGTGAGACCCAAAGATTGGCAGGGATATCTTGAAATTGAAGATGTCCCAAGAGATAGTAGGCACAATAGACTTTTTGAAAGAGATGTATAGAAACTGAGGGTTGAAAGGAAATTAAGTATTGAAATAATGTTTAGTGCTGAGGCCGGCATTTCTTTTGCTGTTCTGTTAACAAGCAAGCTTGAATGCCTCTTGTGTCAGGGAACTCACTAATTGAACTTACTCCATTAAGTTATGCAGTAAACTGCTTTTTCCCAAAACAATCTGTGATAATGTTTGACAGCTCTCATCTGCTCTGCCTGTTCTTTTGGGGCTAAAACCCAGCCAGTTTCTTCAACAATTTCCCCAAAGAGATGCCATCTTATTGTTCTTTCTCTCTCTTTTTTTCTTTATTGAATTTTAAAGAGAGAGGAAGGGAGAGGGAGAGAGAGAGATAGAAACATAGATGAGAGAGAATATCAATTGGCTGCCTCCTGCATACCCCCCACTGGGAATTTGGCCCACAACCTGGGCATGTGCCCTGACCAGGAATCGAATTGGTGACCTCTTGGTGCATGGGTGGACATTCAACCAATGAGCCACACTGGCCTGGCTTATTGCTGTTTTGACCAGGCTCTGGTTTATCTGCTGCTTTGAGGTTTCTTGAACTCAGGGTCTTTCTTTAGGTACACCTGATCAGCACAGAATTACAGGGAATAGGTAGTATTTACTGAGTGCGCACTATGTTCTAGATATTGCCATAAGCAATTTACATGGATTATTTTATTTAATCTCCCAATAACCCTGAAAAATAGTAGCATTGTCCCCACTTATCAGACGTAGAACATGAGGTATAAGAACTTGCTCAAGGTCACATTGCTAGCTGGTGGCCAGGCTGGGATTTGAGCCTGGCCATCCGTCTCCAGAGCCTGTGATCACCTATTGATTATGCAATTCAAATCAGAATATTACTTTCCTCACTTTAGATCTTATGCATCTATATGGCCTACAGCAACCTGAGGTTTCTTTGACAGACCACGCCAAACTGGTGACTCATAAAGCTCCTTTTTTTTCCACGCCCAGTTCCCCAAGTGTATAGAAGTTCTAATACAGTCAAATATCTCCTCCTTTAAGGTTTCTCTTGGTGTTATGCAATGCCAGACTCTTTTATTTAAAAATCTAAAAAATTAATTAGAGAGAGAGAAGGAAGGAGAGGGGGAGAGAGAGAAATTTGTTGTTCCACTTATTTATTCATTCATTGGTTGTTTCTTGTATGTGTCCTGACCAGAGATTGAACCCACAACCTTGATGTATAGGGACGACGCTCTAACCAACTGAGCTACCCAGACAGGGCTGTGATGTCAGACTCCTATGCACTAAACTATACCAGTCCCATGATTATCAACAGTTATCCTCTGGGTAACTTTCTATGGTACAAAGGCCGATGCTCTAACCACTGAGCCAAACTGGCCGGGGCTCCTCTGGGTAACTAATAAATCTGACTCAGCATCTAAAACCCACCCATTGAGACAAGTAATTGTATAGGTTTTTGCCTATAATGGGAAAAACCAGACATATGTTATATATATTATTAAAAATATATTTTATGATTATACAAACTTACAATCATATGGTTTTATAAGGTTATATGTAACACTAGCTAAGTGGACGAAAAAATTGATTTAGGCCCTGGCTGGTGTTGCTCAGTTGGTTGAGCATCATCCGGTGCACCAAAGGCTGCTGGTTCAATCCCCAGTCAGAGCACATGCCAGGTTTCAGGCTTGATCCCTGGTAGGAGGCGTGCAGGAGGCAGCTGATCGATGTTTCGTTCTCACATCCATGTCTCTCTGTCTCTCTCCCTAAAAATTAATAAAAATATTTTAAAAAATCGACTTAGATTCCAGAATTACTCAAAGGTACATAAGAACCAAAATAAAGGTGGCATCTGAGGAGAAGTAAAAAGAGCATAACATTGGGACTTTGATCTAGATTCTAGTTCCAATTCCACATTTACCAGTCAGGTGTACTGTGCCCTGGACTTTCCAGGATCGCACTTCCAGGTTTGCTCTTGGGTGTGTGCCAAGAGGGTTGGGGACAGAAAGGGGTACATACAGGGGCAGTGGAGGGGAGGTGCTGTCAGTTTACCACAGCGAGAATCTGGCAGCTGGAGCCATGGCTGGGAAGAGAGAGATCACCCTTAACTGCATCATCCTAACCTAACTAACCCCTACCAAGCCTGGAAGAAAGTTTCCACTTTACGAGGCTGGTCTCATTTCTCTTGATTTATAAAGCATCAGCCTCCTCGACATGCATAATGAACTGGCACGTCCTCCTCTGAGGGAGCTGACAGACCCCTCAGGCTGCCTTTGGATTAGGAGTAGCTTTACTTTCACTGTCTACACAAGGAATGCAGTGCTGGCTGACCTCTCCCGGTGCATCCCAGTTCCAAGGTCAAGAGCCCTGAGTGACTGTGGTAGTTATTAATCTTTGATAAACCTGAGGTAGAACATAGAATGTTAGACATTTAGCTGTCCTCTAGTCCACCTTTTTACTCCTAGCTCTGTGAATGTAGCTTTTATTACTTTTAGTTATTCTATTGAAAAAAAAAAAGGTCTCTATGTTTTCCTAAAAGTATATCCCAAATTTTAATGTATAATAGTGTCATATGTTGTTCCTTTATTTATTAATTTCCCCCAATTATTATTATTATTATTATTTTTTATCCTCACCCGAGGATATTTTTCCATTTGTTGTACAGATAGAGTGGGAGGGAGAGAGAGAGAGAAACATCGACATGAAGGGACACATCGAGTGGCTGCCACCTGCACGACCAACCAGGGCCGGGGACAAACTGCAACCGAAGTACGTGCCCTTAGCGGGAACCGAACCCGGGTCTCTCCGGACCGCAGGCCGACGCTCTAACCGCTGAGCCAAACTGGCCAGGGCAATTTCCCCCAATTATTTTGAAGAATTTCAAACCCACAGAGAAATGAGAAGAACCACCACCTGCATACTCTTTACCTAGATTTATCTGTTGATAACACGTGGCTGTACTTGCTTTGTCTCTCTCTGTCTCCGTATTTCTATATAAATTTACACACATATTTTATGAAAATAAATTGTAGACATCATGCTCTCACCCTTCAATAGTTCAACATGTATCTCCTAAGAATTAGGACCTTCTCCACAGTTTTCCCATTTAATGTCCATTTTGCACTCCTGACTGCCAAGTCTTGCTCTTCTCCATCTTTTGAAATGTTAGATATTCTAACAGGTGCGCAGAGGTATCTTGCTGTGGTTTTAAGCTGCCTTTTCCTGATGAATAGTGATGTCGAACACCTTTTCAGAGGCTTTTGGGAAAACCTCTTTAGTGAAATGCCTCTTCCAGTCTTTTGCCCATTTAAAAAATAGATTGTATTTTTATTGATTTGCAGGAACTCTTTATATTCGGGACATGAGTTTCTCTCAGATAGATATAAAACAGAAAGGCTTTTAATTGAAATTACTTCCTGTGTTGGCACAGTGTTTGCCCTCCCCCACTTTTAGAGGAAGAAAACAGTCCTGTGTTAGTATGGATAGTCATTCTGCCTGTGCAGAAAAGAGATACTGTGCCTTCATGAAAAACATTTTTTTTAGCAACTACAATAAAGGAAACAGTTGGACAAGCAAAATGATAGTTCCACAACTATTTTCCCTTTTTGCATAAATAGACTTCCTTGTGGGCAACTGGACCTTTATATAGAGGTTCTTTGTAATTTCTGATAAGCAGCAGGATCTGCTGGGAACTGGATGATAATTCTATTTTGTGGTAGTCATGACAGGGTGATCTCATGGCTCCCGTGATGACAGGCTAAGAGCCCTATTTTCCAAAACTCTCCCAAACTATAGACAAGAAAGACAGACTTCCTTGATCTAGTCAGAATGGTTAATTTATTGCTACAGGGGCAGTTGACATTAACCCAAACAGCAACACTCTGGCATTACAGACCATTTTGCAAGGGATTTTCATACAACGTAGCCATTCTACACGCAAGGCTGCTGTCTGGGTTTCTCCTTGACATTTCCATTCAGATAAAATCTGATCAGACCACAGGATGGAAGTAACTGCATGTAGCACGCCACCGTTTGCAGGCCTCACACCTGCGGTAAACACAGCCGTTGGATCATGTCACTTTCTCAGGCGTCGGCTACTATTCAGTCTGGGTTTGCATTTAAGGTAGCATCTATTTGCCATCCCTGAGTTGAACTGAACACAATGGGCAAGGTTAGGAGCAGAAAGCCAGCCTGAAATACACACCAAGAACAGTAGAGATTTATATCATATTCCCTTGGTAATGACCCATGAAAGGCTTATATGGGCTGATTATAGACATACATACAGTGCAGCTTAAAAAAATTTTTTTTTAAGTTTCAGAACAATGGCAGTTCCCCTCTCCCTTGAAGGCTGCTTTCCTAGCACCCTGGTCACGCAAATGTCAGTCACCTTCGTCCACACTGACCAACACTAGGCTCTTTACCAAGTCCTGCACCGTCTATAAAATGGTTTTAGGAAACACTGTTACATGGCTCTTTTTGTTGTCATTACAGGGGAGTGTGTTCAACACCTGGAAACCCATGTGGGTTGTATTATTAGAAGATGGAATTGAATTCTACAAGAAGAAAAGTGACAACAGCCCCAAAGGAATGATTCCCCTGAAAGGAAGCACTCTGACTAGCCCTTGTCAGGACTTCGGCAAAAGGATGGTGAGTGGACATTACTAGCCACAATGAACGGTTTGTCAGACACTGACCTTTGAGCCTGTTCATAGCCTACAGTGTGAATGGTTCCCCCAAGGGCTAGTCCCCCTCGCCACCACCCACACTTCACCCTGGGCATTTGGGTCTTTCTTGGCCAAGCACTTCCAGAATAGGATTGGCTCAACTGCTGTGCCTCATAAGGGGCCTCAGCCCCTTGAAAAGAATTATTTCTAATGGCATGTGCTTTGATTTTCAGTTTGTGTTTAAGATCACTACAACCAAACAGCAGGACCACTTCTTCCAGGCAGCCTTCCTGGAAGAGAGAGATGGCTGGGTTCGGGACATCAAGAAGGCCATCAAGTGCATTGAAGGAGGCCAGAAGTTTGCGAGGAAATCTACCAGGAGATCTATCCGACTTCCAGAAACCATTGACTTAGGGTGATTTTTCTGTGTTTACTTCCTTCCACCCTTTCCTCTTTTCCCCTTTGCAGAAATCTCACGACAAGTCCTGTTCCAAGGCTTGGTCACCTCTGAAGGCTGTATTCATCCTTCCAGGTTGATACTGGCTCTGGGTATACTAAGATGTTTACCTGGATCTGAAGGAGTGATCATGGCTTCTCCAAGGCCTAGCAGCTGAGCGAGGAAGCTAATGGAGTATACATTCCCTCGTTTTGGATAACCTTGGTAGAGAGAGAGAGAGAAAGAGAACCAGAGAGATAGAGAGAAACAGAGAGACAAAAGTTATTGCATTTGTGAAGTAGCCATAGTTAGCCAGTCTTGAAAGAAAGCTTAAGGATCTATAGGTAGGGGGAAAAGGCAGGGGCTATATATCCAAGTATTCTAGATTTCAAGTTCAAGTGCACACGTCCACACTGTCGGCAAGGACTAGCCAAGGTGAATACCCATGCTGGGCAGACACCATTTGTGCCCTGACTTGGTTTAATGTCCTCTGACTTTGGCTGGCTTGGAATTGTAAGTGGTGGTTGTTGTCTAGAGGTTCCCAGGTAAATTCAGCCCTGACAGGGGTTGGGAATAGGTTCCCTCCTTCTTATACATTTCACATCTTCTCCTAATCACATGAGCCTTTTTTTCTGGGAGTCTCATTGCTTCCTGATAGTTTTGCATTTAAGTCACGTATAACCTGCAATAGGAGCCCAGTCAGAAAAAATTTCATGTTGGCTGCAAAAAATGTTCAAGAAGGGTTCTGTTTAGACAATGAGGGGAGTCCATGAGAAAGGCTAAAGACAAACCCTTTCTGCAGCCTAACACAGGGCTTGGCATGTCACAAGTTTAATGAAGTTTGCATGTTGAGTTTGGGGAGACTGAGCACATCTTCTCACCAGCAAAGCTCTTTGGTAAAGACTCAAGATGAGGCATCTGGTCTCGCTGCAGCTGCTGGCTGGTGTTGTTCATTGACCCCATGTCCGGCCATGGCTGTCAGAGCTAACTGGGAATGATGTTCGTGCTACATGGAGCCACGTGATATATGAAAAGGGCCTTCTGGTTAGTTGCTTGCAGGTTCTCTGATCAGGCTGTCTTTAGTTCATTACTTCAAGGACAAAAATAGAACTTCTCACTATTTTGCTTTGTCTCATAATTTTTAGAATGAGAGATATGCTTAGCTAAAACATTTGCTTTCTTGGAGGCAAATGTCTACTGTAGATGGTCTCTTGAAGGACATTAAAGAGCTGGAACATGAGAATGGAGGGACCTTGAAGACCTAGAGTGTGTATGGAAAATTGGCCCTAAGAACCTTAGTCTGTGCCACCTAACTGGGAGCAACTTTCTATCTCAGGCATTAGGAGTTAAATCAACGAAGAACTTAATGACTTTAAAATGTAGTAATTACCTGAATACTGTGCAGGCCACGGAGTTATGCAAATATCAGCTCTGCCCTTTAATTTCTCAAGGTCGAGTGGGGAGATCAGGCACAGGGCCACCCGGGAGGGGAGAAGCTTGTGCTCCCGGCCAGCCCCTCCCAGGTCGACTCCCTGAGAGGACTTGCCATCTGAAATACTCCCCACTCATGTCTGATTTCATCTCTGTGCAGTGCTCTGTATTTGTCCATGAAAGACACAGAAAAAGGAATAAAAGAACTGAACCTCGAGAAGGACAAGAAGATTTTTAATCACTGCTTCACAGGTAAATGGCCTTGCAAGTCTGAAACAAGGCAGCTGGGGACGGCGATGTGGGGTTCCCGCTCAGCCGTGTGTGGGTGGGGCCTGTGCAGCAGGCTCAGTCACAGGATGCAGACTGGCGAACATGAGAACTGAACTTCCCCAGTGTGGAAACGGAAAGAAGGGTAGAAAAGGACTTTGTGGTCCGAGATATAGTTTTGGAAATTCCAACTATATCAATCAAAGGGTCATTTCTTTTTTCCTCCCAATAAATGACATTATGTTAAAATAGACACAGAGCTGAATAAAATGATAAAAAGGAATCAAGATATATATTGTAAGATTTAAGTGACAACATTAGGGTTACTTGTATTATTTCTCTGAGGCTGCACAAGGTCAGGCATTAAGTGTGCCTAAGACTCGACGTGCCTGCCATCAAAGCTCTCCTCTCGGCGCCTTCCTCTCTATTGGCTCCTTTTGCCTTTGCTCATCAGCTTCTCCCCTCATCCCCCCAATGGGGCTGCTTCCCTCAGCCTGTGCAGGCGCCTCTCTTTCCCTGCCTCACGGTTTGGCAAACATCTGCTCATTTCAAAGCCCGGGCCCAGTGTCGCTTCCTCTATGAGGTTTTCCCGACATTGCAGGCACTCAGCCCTTCCCCAGCCCCTGTTCCAGCCCTCCCTGCAGATTGTATAGCACAGCAGTTGTTACAACAGTTACTTGTCACCCACCTCCCCCTTCTAAATTTCCTGAGTGGTTCTCCCCAAAACTCAGCACAGTACTGAGCACCTAGTAGATGCTCAATAAATGTTTATTTGTATGTGGAATAAATGTGGGGTAGTAAAAACTATTTCTTTGATGATGCATTGCTTCTTAAAAAACACGTAGATTTAAGAAAGAAAGAAAGAAAGAAAGAAAGAAAGAAAGAAAGAAAGAAAGAAAGAAAGAAAGAAAGGAAGGAAGGAAGGAAGGAAGGAAAAAAACCCTTTCCACAGTTTCTTTTGTTTCCAGATGTCTATCCCATTGATTTTGTTTTGCTTTCTTGTAACAACAGAGAAGATGAGACAAGTCAAATATGTGGGTGCTCTGAGGCTTTCCAGAGGTGACTGTCAGTGTTTGTTCTTTGATTAAGAGAGTTAACCTTCCCTCTGATGGTCTCACCCAGGTAACTGTGTCATCGACTGGCTGGTTTCCAACAAGTCCGTTAGGAATCGCCCGGAAGGCCTCATGATCGCCTCCTCACTGCTCAACGAAGGGTACCTGCAGCCTGCCGGGGACCTGTCCAAAAGTGCCGTGGATGGGACAGCCGAGAACTCTTTCCTGGACAACCCTGATGCCTTCTACTACTTTGTAAGTGAGAAACGCTTCCTAGCTAACTCCTCCTGTAATGGAGACTGCTCTGGGCAGATTCTACACTGATCTCAACCAATATTCACACGTGTGAAGGGAAGGCCTGGTCCTCTACCGAGAGTTGTTAGATATTCTTTACTTGACAGCTGTCCCCCAATTCAGTGCCTGCCACATCCAAGTGAGCCCATTCAAAGGAAATCGTGTTCGCTTGAATAGTTTTCTTTCGAAGGACTTTTAAAACTTCACTACATCTATTCTTATTCTAAGCAGTAGTTCATTTATAAAAACTGATTAGGCCCTAGGACATGCTGGGCACTCTCCTAGACAAAGGAGATACAGGAGTTCAAACAAAGGCGCCTTCATGGAGCTTCCTTTCTAGAAGGAGATCCGTAAAATCACAAGATGCTCATTGTATTTTCCCAAATGTGCATTAAAATACGAGACTCAATATGAAGTGTGTGCATCCACGTCCCCTCCCCCATCATCTTGTGTACCTCCTGGGGTATGCTGACTGCAGATCGGGGAACGCTGTGTTACACGACATGGACCTAGTCCTGGGCTGTGTGAGAAATCCTGCAGCAGTGGATTTCTAGGGGGATTTTGGCAGTACTGTTTCTATTTGGGGTCAGAGCACAGAAGTTAGGAAGCTACTTTAAGAGCCTTTTACAAAAATGATGTGAATGTCCCACAGAGAGTTTCATTTCACTTTGAGGGTGGAGGAAGTTCCACTGTCAGTATATATATTTAAGACCTCTAATTGGTTGTTTATAGCCATTTAAATGTGGGATTCTAAAAATACCCACCAGATTGGCTCCTCTTCCTCTACATGGTTCATTGTGGCTTATAGCTCAGCAAGTCCTAGTTCCCCACTGACCCCAGAGAATGAGGCTGGTCACCTGCTCTTGGTCTTCTCAAAGTAGGAGGGGCTGAGTGACAGACACCCTACTGGAGATATTGTTGTGTATTTGCATTGTCTTATAAATCAGCCAACTGTACTTTCAAAGGTGTGGCCATGAGGTCCAAAGAGAAGGAAGGCTTTGAAGGAAGAAATGTGCTGAACTAGACTTAAAATATGTATAGCTTGGGGAACCCAAGGGAATGAAAAGATATCAGCCAGATCTCATGAATGGAAGGAGAGGAAGAGCATCTAGAAACAAGATAAAGGGGGAGGGGAAATGAGATAACCAAGGACAGCCTTTGAAGTCCAGGACGAGATACACAGGAGGAGGAGGAGGAGGGACGAAAGTGGGGTGGGGGATGAAGATGGTACAAGTAGCAATACATCTAGGACTGGTGAAATAAACTTGCTATTTCATTTCCCAATAGCCAGACAGTGGGTTCTTCTGTGAAGAGAATTCCAGTGACGATGATATAATTCTGAAGGAAGAATTCAGAGGGGTCATTATCAAGCAGGGATGTTTACTGAAGCAGGTAACTGTCCTCTTCTATTTGAATTGACAGCCCCCCTTTAATGTTTCCAACCTCTCAGCCAGTAGTTTATAACCCTGGTTCATCTCAGAGTCATCTGAGGGAATTTTTTAAATGCCCTCTTTAAATGCCACATAAGCACCCTGTATCTACTGCTGAAAATTAGCCGTGGTTAACCTGCATAGCATGCTTATCACGAAAAACAACCCCTGTGCTCCACAACTTAGATGGTGAAGTAGCTGTGTCCAGCTGAGGGCCAGGCCCCTCTTCACTGTTTCCTCCCCACTTCTCCCATCCCAGAGGGAGTAATTCTACTTGGAAGAACACAACACATTTGAGGACAAATGAGATTGGATTATATTCAATATAATTCATTCTGTTATAACAATGCATAAAGTATCGACCAATGTAGACTCGTTGATGAAGGACAATGTGTTATACGTGTTTTTCTCGTATCTGTTGCAGAGCTCAGCATCCTTCTTGGTCTATAATAAGCAATAAACATTTGTAGAACGGGTTAAATCAAATATAAGTAGATGACTTTGACAGATCAGCAACAATTCTTGGAAGCCCCAGGCATACATGCATTCCTTAAAGTCCCTCAGGACATACTCATTAGATGGACGATGCCAGCCAGACATCCGCTTACTAACATCAAACTCTTCAAAATGTCACACTGCAGTGCCAGTGAGGGCTTAAAGGGAATATGGTGGGTGGCCAGGGTTGGCTCATTTCACATCTTCTTGTGGACTCATGAGAACTTGGCATTGACCCAGTCGCTTCATAGGAGGACATGCCACGCGTGCTTGCAGGTCAGGATGAAACGATTTGGGCAGACAGTTCACTGTCCGCAATTTTGTAGGGAACACTGGCTAAGGCGTAGAGCAGAAATCCGTAAAAAAGACTTTTAGAAGTCGATGCTTTGCAAAAGCCATCTGGACATGAAGCAGCAGATAGAAATGTTTTGTATTCTCCCATATGATTCCTCAGGGTTTCTGGCTTCAACAATCAGGCAAGTAAAAGACTCTTTTGAGATGGACTCCTTGACCAAATGATTGGCCAAATAACTAGATCCGCTCTTGAAAGCTCCCTTTACATTTCGCTGACCTGGAATTATAAAGGAGGCACTGCTGGCTAAAATCATAAATGTTTCCTTGCTTTCTATACAAGCACGATGAAAAATATTGGAAAGTTCACTGATGTGCCTGTCAGTATGTGGCGTGTCAGAGAACATTATTCTTTGTATTGGCAAGATAGAAACTACATATCTTTTACTCTAATATTTTTTTGGCTTCTGAGTTACTTCAGTCATTTCTGTGGGAAATCATGCAATCAGGTTTACTACGACATTTTAAAAAACTGCTATAAATGAATTGAAATAACTAGGCAATTCAAGGCAAATTCATACAAATAGGTATGAAGCAGCTTCTGTGTGCCAGGCACAGTGCTGGGCACTGGAGGGTCAACAGACAAATAAGACACAAATGCCCTCAAAACCTACAGTCGAAACAGTGTCAGTGTTTAATTTTATTGGAAAAGGCCAAGCCCTAGTCTTCTTTCTCATTAAGTGTGGCGCAGCAAACATCCCTTCCCATTTCCCTTGCTGCTACTTGATGTTAGTCGCTGATAATTTTATGCCTGAATTGTTGCAATCATTTCCTCACGATCTCCTTTTTTACCTTATTGTCTTGTTCCTGGCGTATCTTTATTCTAGCCAGTGGGTCCATCCTGTATGTTGTCACCACATTAATCTTCCTAAAATGTGATTGTAATCTTTCGTTTCCCATTCAGTGACAACCCACCTTTTGTTTTCACTAAGTCTCTTTCCACTGTTCCAACCTTGCCTCTACTGTTCCTCATGACCCCTGTCTTCTAGTCAGAATGCTCTTACTCATCAGCGGCTGAATAAGCCTTGTGGCTCCCACTGCTTTTGTTCTTGTCTGTGGTCTTCCACCTACCTCTTTCTCCCCTCATGGAGACACATCCAGACCCAGAATCACATGTCTCTCATTCCATTTTTTAAAAAAAATCCGTTATCTGTACCAATTACTTGATTTGGACATTCGCTATTATATTTTTCCACATAGGTTATAAACGCTATGAAGAGTAGGCCATGTCTTAAATCTCTTTATAACCCCTACATTACCTAAATAGTACGTTGCACATACATAGCACTTTGTATACTATGAAATTGGAAGGCAATCCCAGAAATCACTTAATCCATAGTTTAAAAATATCCCAGTTGTTCATGAGCCACAGTGCGCTCTCTCTGACAAAGATTCGGGTTAGGGATTGGTTCTCCTGGAATTAGTATTTCATTTTTTTTTCTTCAACTCCTCAAAGATTTATTTTGTAGGTACGCTGTGTACAGAGTGATGCCAAGAACTCATCCTTCCTTTTCTTATGTTGATCCTGGATATAGGGGCATAGGAGGAAAAACTGGAAAGTGAGGAAGTTCATTCTGAGAGAAGACCCTGCGTATCTGCACTACTATGACCCTGCTGGGGTGAGAGTCTGTGCTTGATAAATCCGCTCTCCTGGGGCCTCCACTGCATCTGTTCTCAGGGCTTTTCATTCCCCTTTCCTCTGCGCCTTCCCACTCTCCCCCCCGCCCCCCACCGTTTCTACCTCCTCCTATTTGCAAAGATTTGAGATCTTAGGTTTTGAGGCATAAACTCAGAGATGGAAGAAAATATCACTAAATTGTCATTTATTAGTCAACTCAACATAATTATTTTGTTTGTCCTAATCTAATATTTCCAGAGGGACTCAACGAGTTCAACCCTTTGCTCTTGGTTTAATAGGCGGAAAAGCGATCATTCTCTTCCAGGCCAACTTGGATGAAAGTATTATTAAATCTAGGCATTTAGACTGTTGAGTATTCAGAAGGGGGCCTTTCCTCAATGAAATGAGTCAGCTCTACAGCATAAAGACAGCTCCATCTGAGCTGGGTCCCCGGCCTCTGCTGGCAGAGCAAGATCTGTGATTTTCTCCTGTGCGGGTTAGTGCAGGGGACCAAAGAGCTCCAGAAACACACGGTTCTTCTCTTGTGGTACATGATGACTCAGCTTTTCCACCTCCCCTACCGCTTTTTCCAGATATGAAGCTCAGATTGAGTGCGTCTCCTCATCTCGCCTCATGGGTAGGGAGGTCATGGGTGGGGAATCTGGGAGGGGTTTCCTTTAATCTCCTTCCGCTCTTATCTATTTTGAGGCCCTTGATCTATACTAGAGTGAGTCTGTGTGGGTTTTGCACCCACAGGATAAGGTATATTCATTGTACTTTGGAAACATAACAAAGGATTCCTCTTTCCTCTAGGGGGAAGATCCCCTGGGAGCCATTCATCTGAGAGGCTGTGTGGTGACTTCAGTGGAGGGCAACCCCGATGGTAAGAATGAATTTCTGTTTGAGAGAGGTGTATCTGCTTAGGCTCCCTTCCAACATACGGGCATCTTGACCAATCCCTGACTCAATCAGACATAAGCATGAATGAATTTCTGTCTGAAAACCTGGGACAAACCATGAGCTATTCTTTCCCAACTGCTGCCCTGGCTCTCTGGGTCTTGGGGAGTTGGAGAGATTTTGTGGATGCCTTGAGTACATCTTTGGGAAATGCTGAGAAACATTCTCCACATCAGAACTGGTTTAAATGGAGACACTTTTTTACTTCCTGATGCCATGACATTCTCTATTGGGAGCCTAGTACAGACCAGGAAATTTCTCACAGCCAAAGGGACATTTGTGCAGTGAGTGGAAGGTGTACCTGAGTTATAGTTAGGTCTGTGCTGGTTGGTTAGCAGCATGGCCTTGGGTAAATACCTAACCAACGTGGGTCTTAATTCTTCCTCTGAGAATGAGTGGTTTGCACCAAATGACCTCGAGGTCCCAGATCATAAGTCTATGATTTGATGCTTGGAATGAGCATGTTGCTGTAGATTTACTTCTCAGGTGCAGGGATCGGTGGTATCACCATGGAGATGTGATTTAGATATACAAACCCTGGTTTTTGCCTTGTCGTTTGGGGTTACGATGTGATCAAGACAGACAGGAAAAAACCACAGCTACAAAAGCCTAGATATTTGTTTTACTACCCCTGGATCTGTTCACTCTCTTCTCCTCATAGAATTCTCCTTTCGTTTTGGGTTGAGGAGCATCTTGCTTTTTTATTTGAGATGGATGTTTGAAGTCTTGTCACAGTACTGGCCAGTTTACTGCCTCCAATATTTCAGAGACTGCAACTCAGCCCTTGATAAAAACAGGTTTGGGCTATACTGGTGGGCCTGGCTATTTATTTATTTATTTTCATAAATTAGAAAAATATATTAGGGTCAGCCCTTGGTTTATATTATGAGTAGAGGAAACACTTATTGGACACTATTAGAGTTTACTCACTGAACACTATTGGTGTGCCAACATGAGAAAGTTTATCTGTAAAAGAAAAGGTTTCTCCTTGAGTGTTTCACCCATTCTTAAACACACACACCATCCGACTATGTACCTGTCCATATAAATACTATATATAATTATACAATAAATATAGACGATCATACAGTGATGACAAGTTCGAAAACCACATATTTGATTTTCTTAGAACACTAAAAAAATAGGGATTTCATTCCTTGCAGAAGGAGGGTAAACTCTGGCCGTTCCGGTGCCCACAGGCACTGCCATTCACGTTCTCTTTCACCAGGTAAGAAGAGTGAAGAAGAGAACCTCTTTGATATCATCACGGCTGATGAAGTTCATTATTTCTTGCAAGCGGCCACCCCTAAGGAGCGCACCGAGTGGATCAAAGCCATCCAGGTGGCTTCCCGGACTGGAAAGTGAGGACACATCTGCAGCTCCTCGTCACCCTCCTGAGGGGACCCCACGGATAAGCTTGGTCCAGGATCTAGTCACTTCTGGTGACACATCAACAAGAAAGGGCTCGGGGTTGGGAACTTTCCATCTGCGGGGTTCTAAATGTAACTAACCACATGCCACGTGATGCTCACCTGCACCCCACCACCTGGCTCACTGAAGTCTCTCTGCCACTGTCCGTGTCCCCCACGCAGATACAGCAAGCTATATGGGGTTGGTACACTGCTTGATCTCTCCAGGCCTCAGGTTCCTCTTCTGGAAAATGAAGTGGGACCCTTGAGGTCCTCCCTAGCTTAAAACCAAAGAGCCCTGTGATTCAAACACCCACACAGGTGTTTCATGCAACTGGTATTCCTTCTTGGCTAAAGTTTGGCCTTCAGAACCGGAGACAACTCTTCCATTTATAGTTGTTTCAATCTGTACTAAAAGGAGTGGTATAAACCTCTTTTGCTCTTTCTTGCCTTTGGCCACAAGATTATGTACCAAAATGAAGGAGACCTCTTTTCTTCCTTCCTCCCTCCACCCAGAAACTTCCTGAGAGCAAGCAGTGCAATGTGGCTTTCGGGTTGAAGCCTTTTTTCACTTACCATAACCTGGAAAGTCATCTGTCTCCTGAGAAAAGGGCCCGAGGAAGCAGGAGGAGCCGAGGTCTTTTCCATGCCTCGACGCCACTCCAGGGAGGTGTATTCCACTCCCACTTGAGGCTCATCTGAGAGGGTCGTTGTTGCTTGCAGGAGCCTTTCTCTATCGTTTATTATAATTGGGATGGAGAACTCCAAATCTTCAAGATAGTTTCATTTGAGTGTTTGCAAAAAAATAAATTTAGTCATATGGGTTCCCTTAATGGGTTCTCCCCACCGGTGAGGGGCCTGGATAGCTGCCTGGCTAATGTGTGCCCCTAACCCCAGCTCTGGAAGGTGCAGGGGCCAGACCAGGCAGGTGGACTGGATGATGGGTTCATCCAAAGACAGCACTGAAGAGACCTAAGTCTAGACAGAGCTAGTGGGAGTGCTTGAGCTCTAAGCATAAACTGTAGCAGCTCCTGCTTGGCCTCCAAGGAACCGCATGAACCCGTTTGCAACCAGACTAACCTGACCTAGATTCAAATTGGGTGCCTGTTTCCAATCTTTTATCATGTCTACTAACCAGTGATTATCATCCAAAACTGAGAAATAAAGCAGGGATGAGTGTGACGGTGTATTTCCCAATTTCAGATTTTTAATTTTAAGGCCCCGGTGAGGAAAGGAGAGTAGACAACTCTTCCCGATTTCATCAACTCTCTTCCCTCCCCCAATTCCACACAATATCCGTGAGGCTATTTCTACTCCCAGGTCACTTTAGCAGCGCCCTTCATGTAAAGACCGCCCTTTTTCTACATGCACAGTCGTTTTTCTACTTTCAGTGTCAAAAGTATTTATTAATATGGAGTCCACTTTACATCTTCAAATAAACGTGACTGCTCAGTGTCTTTACGACGTGATGGCTCTGATGTTTTCCTCCTCTTAATGATGATCCTTTTCTACAACCACTTTCATTTACTGAGGACAATACCGTTTCTACTCTCTTACGTTATCCCAATGACTCTATTTTTTTAAACAAAGTCAGTCTATTCTAGGGAATAATAAAAAAATACGGGAAAGTAAATGTAAACCATAAACCTGTATTGCTAATTTTTATTTTTATTTTGTTCATCTTTACCAGAGGATATTTTCCCATTGACTTTTAGAGAGAGTGGAAGAGAGAGAGAGAGAGAGAGAGAGAAACATCAATGCAAGAGAGACGTATCAACTGGTTGGTTGCCTCCTGCATGACCCCGACCAGGGCTGGGCATCAAACCTGCAACCCAGTTACGTGCCCTTGACTGGGAATTGAACCAGAGACCTTTCTGTCTGCAGGCTGATGCTCTAACCACTGAGAAAAATCGGCCAGGGTTAATTTTTAATTTTTATGAGACCTTGATTATAATTTTCAGGCAAGTAAGAGAGTCCATAAATGGCCATTAACTATTAAGGATACAGAAAACTATTTACATCAGGGAAAAACGAGTTTCCTATTAAAGGGTATATGGTTGAGTGCGATGTGTGATGCTCAACTCCAGGAGGCACTATTCACATTGGGGTCCAGGTGACAGTCACTCTTTAGAATTTTTGTTACACAATCTGCACATTTGTACATAGGGTCTGCAGAGAATTCAAAGTGTTATCCTGGCTTTCTAACACAAGCAATTAACTATTCCTGATGGAACGAAGGGGTCACTTTTCAAAGTTAATATTTAGAGTATAGATGTAGTTGTTATATTTGAACCTCTTTGGTTAAGAAATCATGCTGAGGATAGTTATAAAGACTGGCCAGAAAGATGGCTGCGGGCAGGACCGGAGGGAGGGTGAGTGTGTGAGAGAGTGAGCGAGTGTGTGAGAGAGTGTGAGAGGACGTGAAGGTGGACGACCAAACCCGAGCAGTGCAGAGAGCGGAGCAGAAGGTCCCTGGGCTGTGGACGGAGCAGCCGGCTACCACAGTAGGCGGGCCTTCAGGGCACTTCTCCCTGAGCCCTGAAGGTCCCACCATTTGGGAAGATCCCGGGTCTTCCCTGGGAGGAGGCAGTGGGAGTGGATAAGGCCCAGCAACCTGAGCCCACCAGCACACCTGTCACCATCGGACCAGTGGACACTCTGTGTCAACACAGACCAGTGCACAGTCGTGGAGCTGCCAAGGTGCTGGTCGCGGAAGCCACGGACAGCCGGAAACCCAGCACCATCCCCCACAGTAGCAACCCCATCAGACTCAAGATATACCCCAGCAACAGAGGCTGGGGAGCAGACATCCATCCCCAGGCAACAGAAGCACAGACCAGCAGCTGAGACCCAGCCCCAAAAACTACAGCAAAAGCTGAGCAGGAGTGGAGCCCCATGGGGCAGCAGCTCTCCCCAGCCGCCAGCGGTGGGACCTGGGGCTTCACAGCGGCCTGTGCGGTCCAGCAGCTCACAAGAGCGGTGGGAAGCTGGGGCCTGAGAGGGCCCGGTGCGATCCAGCTGCCAGTGGAACCTGTGGGGTGCTGGGGCACCAGAGAGGCCTGTGAGACCCAGCAGCCCACAAGAGAGGCATAGAGCCCGGTCTCTAAAGGGACTGTGCGATCCAGCTGCCCACGGTCCGGGCAGGGAGTGTGGCTCCAACAGGGTCTGAGCTATACAGCCCAGGTGGTACTAGCGACCAGCTGGGCACACAGCTCCAGAGGTGCCCACGTGATCCAGCAGCAGCACCTACCAGGACACACCAATATCAGCCCCCAGTAGTCAATCCTCCAGGATCCACAGCAGGCAAGAGGTGACACGCAACAAAACAGTCTGGGAGGCACAGTAGCCTTATTTGATATACAGTGAGCTGCACACACATCCAAACATCCCTTAGCGGGTCTAGAGCTACCAGATGGTTAAAATGGGGAGACAAAGAAACAACACCCAAAGGAAAGAAAAAGAGGAATCACCAGAAAAGGAACGACAGGAAATGGAAGACAACAACTTGTCAGCTAAAGAATTCAAAGCAATGATTTTAAGGGTGCTCAAACAATTTGGTGAGAACTACAAGCAACTTAATAAGAATTATGAAGAGCTCACTGGGAACTACTTCAGCTTACAAAAAGAGGTAGAAGCTATGAATAAAAATCCAGAGGAAATAAAGAATGACATAGCTGTTATGAAAAAGAAATCATGCTGAGGCCTCTTCAGGCATAGTAACAGGTAAATCCATGTGGGTTTGAGCCCCAGTGTGACAGACATTTCCCTCAGCAATGTGTATGAAGGAATATACAAACTATATTTCATTTGAAGAACATTCCAAACCCAAAAGAAAGGCTGCTTGGCATTCACCCAGGATTCCAATTTAGATGGGGGAGGAAATTAATTGTAATACAATCAATTGTGGAAGAATTAAGAAAGTATATCTATAGGAGAAAAATGTCTTTTTGCATCATGTGATTAAAAGCAAGTCAGAAAAATAAAGTATTCAATCTGAAAAATCTAACATCTTTGTGGGAAAAAAATACAAGGAGGCATTGTGAGGGGAGAGAATCTTACCCGCAGTGGAGAGAGAATACAGTGCTGATTTAAGGAGAGATGTTAAGTGTCCCTTGTAGATGCCCACAGACACGTACACACACACAGCAGTTAAAATTCTTCTAGCAGAGGATGACTTTCAAAAGCAGAATGAGGAACTCGCTTAGATGAGAATAATGGACCGTCTCCCAGTGCTAACCAGAGCACCAGCATCATTTCCTTCAGATTTTGGGTGAGCCTGCTGTAAACAAAACCCTTTCTGCTGCCACCCCATGTCAGCCTTTGGGTAAAAACAAAACCACAAAAGGAATTGCTTAAGATTTCGGTTCATTTTGTGTTGGCTGAATAAGGAATTTCAAAACTGAGCAAAATGGATTAGGAGATATCAGAGAGAAAAGGGTGGGAGAAAGAGAAAGAAAGGAGAACTTTGCTTTAAAAAAACAACTTGACTCCAGCCAAGTGTGACTCAGTGGTTGAGCGTCGAGCCATGCACCAAGAAGTCACGAGTTCGATTCCTGGTCAGGGCACTTGCCCAGGTTGTGGGCCTGATTCGCGGTGGGAGGCATGCAGGGGGCAGCCAACTGATGTTCTTTCTCATTGATGTTTTTATCTCTCTCTCTCACTTCCTCTCTGTAAAAATCAATAAAGGAAAAAATAAAATAAAATAGGAGAAACTTATTAAAAAAACACAACTTGAAATGATAGTTCTTAATGATTTGGGCTCAATTTCAGGGCAGAGAGAAGGTAAAATTTAGACCCGACCAGAGGAGGGAAAGGATGAGAGTGTTTCTGATACAATATTTGCTACTTAGTGACGTTTCAAGGTAACAGCATTTATGGGGAGGTTGTTTGATACAGTGGGAAATGCTGTGGTTTAGAGCCTGGGACCTGTTTGATGTCTAGTCCCTGACTTACTGCACTAGTAACATTTAGGGATATCAGCTTCTTTACCCCTAAAATGAGAATAATAATATCCCCCTCATAGGGCTCTTGTTGGGACTAAATGAAATGCTATCTGTATACCTGCTAGGTGTGGCCACCTGACAAATCCTAGTTCCCTTTCTTCTGACTCTTCTGCCATAGAAGCCATTCATGGTAATCTAGATTTGTGTTTTTAATTTAACACAAATAAATTTAATTTAACAAATAAATATTTATTGAACATTTACTGTGTGCTAGCAGTGACTTCTATAGTATTAGTTTTCATTTGCTTTCAGTAAATATATATTTGTGTGTGTATATATATAATTATATATATATGGATTATTTTTGCCACAAGGTATTAATTTACTCATTTACAAATTGCCCTGTGCCAGGTGGTGAGAACATAATCGCCACAGGCTCTGTGTCAGTGGGTTTCAACTTTGGTGTCACACAGCTAGGATTTGTCAGTCTTTTTTTTTCTTTTTAATCCTCACCTGAGGATATTTTTCCATTTATCTTTGGATAGAAAGAGAGAGAGAGAGAGAGAGAGAGAGAGAGAGAGAGAGAGATCAATGTGAGAGAGACACATTGACCGGTTGCCTCTCACAGGATCCGGACCGGGGCCGGGACTGAACCACAACCGAAGCATGTGCACTTGACTGGAATCGAACCCACAAGTCTTTGGTCTGTGGGTTGATGCTCTAACTGCTGAGCCAAAGTGGCCAGGGCCCAGAGTTCACGCTCTTAACCCCTGCTTTAAACTTTCCCTTCATAATAAGAGGTGAATTCAGCCTGGCTGGTGTGGCTCAGTGGTTGAGTGTTGACCCATGCTTTAAGAAGTTACTGGTTTGATTCCCAGTCAGGGCACATGCCCAAGTTGTGGGCCAAATCCCCAGTGAGAGGCATGCAGGAGGCCGCCAATCGATGTTCTCTCTCATCAATGTTTCTATCTCTTTCTCCCTCTCCCTTCTTCTCTCTTTAAAATCAAGAAAGAAAAAAACCAAAAACAGACTAATTTAATGTGCTGATTATAGATACCCAGAACTTTGCTACATACCACACAGATTATTCACTTAATTTTTATCATAATCATGTGAGGCAGTTTCATTTCCATTTTGCAAATGAAGAAATTGAGGTTCGTAAGATGACCCAAGAGCCCTGAGTAAGTAGCCGAAGGAAATTCAAACTCAGGTCTGCCTGGCTTCTGAACCCAGTGCTTAAGTGCTCAGCTTTGTCCTGGAGATATTTGGGTGTTACCACCTTTCAGCTGGGTATGTTGTTACTGTGGGGACGCTGTGTTTACTGCACCCACTGGGCATGCACTACCAGCGGCAGCAACATTTCCTGTTAGGTCACCGCCAGCTACAATGCAGGGTTGGAGGCTTTTTTTATTATTTAAAGGGAAACCTCTATGGTCAGATACAGCTATGCAAATACCTCTGATATTGGTTTTGAGGCTTCTGAAGATTTTATTCGCTAACATTATATGTTCCCAAGCATTTTCCTGAGCTCA